TTATGCAGACAATATTATTGCAACATATTCTAAATATACAAATATTTGCAACTGAAAACGGCAAAACGGAATGTAGTGTTCGTAGTCCAGGAAACTATGCACCTAATTGTGCCGCATCCAGGAAAAACGAGGAACGGCAGATCACTGGCATACGTGGAATTTCTGGCCATTCACTTATTATTTTTATTACCACTAACTTACCATCTTATTTCCTAAATTTGACATTTTTTTGTTTTTTCAGCGTAATCTTGCCTCCGTTCAACCAATCCTGCCCCTCAATTTTCGCATTTTTCATCTCACACTGACATATCTGATACTGACGGACCAGGCCCCGAACTGCACATATCATGGTTTGCTGTGCACTTTTGCAACGTGGAACCACTTAAATTAAGGCAAAAATTTCGAAGGGAGGCAGGAAAAAGTGGAAACGCGATTGCTTCTATACATTTCGCGAATTTGTCCAAATTTTCGGGTCAATTATATACTTCCAAAAGAATCTCACAGGAATTTTGACTTTAGTTATCAAAGAACTGCTAATATTCCGCAATCTCAACACCTGCCACAAAACAGTCCACCAGCTTACGTCAGAAAAGGAGCAAAAAAAAAGAAGGAAATTGCTTGCAAATTCTAAACGATTAAGTTTTAGGAAACCACAACTTCGTCTAAGTCAGATGCACAACATGAAAAATGAAGGAGAACAACTTCTACAAAAGGCTCGATCGCGAAAATAATACGGAACTCAGCTGATCAATACGAGGCGAGTGCATGGTGTAAGCACAGAAATTTAAAATGGGCTGAAAAAAAAGGAAGCAATGGACTCAGTTCACATTCCAACCATCGCACCGTATATAATTCTTATTGCGATCCAGTTTGCTTATTTCGTTGATTTCTTGCTCCGTCAGTTTCAGATTAACAACCTTAATAAAAACCCATATTGAATTGGCATCACAAAATACCGAAAATTTGTTAAAAACTGATTCCAAAAACAATTGGAAAATTTACCGTGCCCAACACCACTGTCCGTTACTGCTCCAGAAAACAGTAACTACTTCTGCTATACAAAAAAAAAAATCAAGTTATCAAAATACTCTTCAAGATAAAGCTATCAATTCCTAACAAAATTTTCAGGAAAATTTCAGCCGCGGAACAATCTGCAAGTGTAATATGCAAATTTCAAAGTAACTTCGATTTGCTACTTTCGATAAAACACACAATCTAAGAAGTTTCTCCGCACAATTTTGCAGGCTGTAACCA